AAAAAAAAAAAAAAACATTCCAACTTTATATATGCATGGGATGAAAATGGACTTGTCCTCCATGCTGTGAACTACTATAAGTAAAGGGTCTTGAAGTCTATCATTTTCAGATACATGAACCTTATTTCATGCAGCAGATAGCAAACTGATGGAATTCACTGCCCCATAAGATGCGTGGGCAACCCACATGATCTGGCTGGTGGTAGGGACCCATAAACAGATCCTGGTGATGGAAACACCAAAGGGTCAGTGTGGACGCTGAGGAAATGACTGGTAACTACGGTGTATCCTGACTCTCTGAGGTCCTGGGCAAGAGGAGAAACTGTCTCCACTTCCATCATCCCCTGTACCATGCCCGGCCCATGGTACATCAACCACATACACAGCACTGTGCCAGGTGGCCCCACACAGGTAGCTAGAACAGCAAGGTGGACTCTCTTCTGGATGGCAGGAGGAAGGAGTGAAAGAGCAGATGGCAGGGCAGCACTCACCACATAATCCAGGACACCAGCACCATTGTCGCCTCGTTGAGGGAATTGAAGAAACGGATGAGGTCTTCTCCTTCGGAGCCTAGTTTTTTTAAGGCCACTCCTAACACCAGAGCAAACAGGACCAATCCTAAAATGTTCATCCCTTCGATCTCAGTGCCCATGGGGATCTGTAGGATCAGAAGAGACAGGACAAGTTTATAACAGATGAATGAGAATTAAAGATGCATTTGCTTGGTGTCCCCACCAGACTGAAATGTTGTGCCCAGAATGAGAAAAGGCTCATATTATCTTTAACCATTAGCAATTCTGCAAATAAAGGGGTAGGAAACTCAAGGGGAGATGTATTCTGAGGATACAGAAAGTCAACAAGCAAAAATTTCATCTAGTTGTTAATTCTGAAAGCTGCTCGAAATTGCATAGGTTAAAGTGGAAGGTAGTGGGCTCCCTGTCATGGGGATATATTCAAGTAGGGGTTGGAGCCACCTAAAATGGCTGCTTTTCAAAGGAGAACTGGTTAGTCAAAAGTTCCTTCAAGTGGGGCATGGTGGCTCACACCTGTAATCCCAGCACTTAGGGAGGCCAAGGCAGCTAGATCCCCTGAGGTCAGGAGTTTGAGACCAGCCTGCCCAATATGGTGAAACCCTGTCTCTACTAAAAATACAAAAATTAGCTGGGCTACGTTTATTTATTTGTTTTGTAGAGACAGGGTCTCTACAAACTGGCCTCGAACTCCTGGGCCCAAGTGATTCTCCCAACTCAGTCTCTCAAAGTGCTATTATTACAGGCATGAGCCATTGTGCCTGGCTAGGACTTCTGAATATCACTATTCTCTCCCAGGACTTGACCTATTGAAGCTGGGCGCAGTGGGTATACCTGAAAGCTGTGGGAGAGAGACAACTTGGGGGATTTAGTGCTGGCTCTACCATTGGCCTACTAGGATTCTATGAGCTGGATGGCTAATACCTGGTGTTGACCTTGGGTCTGTCAACTCACACTTTTTGATACTTCCCAAGTCCTAACTGAAATTGAGGGTCAAGATTCAATGAAACCAGAGAATTCAACTATTATTTGAAAGTTGGTTTTAATATCACCTGTTCTCATATGTGGGAGCTAAAAAAGTGGATCTCATGAAGACAAAGAGCAGATTGGTGATTACTAGAGGCCAGGAAGGGTAGTTGGGGGGAAGGGGACAAAGAGAAGTTGATTAATGGATACAAATGTACAGGTTGATAGAAGAAATAGACCTAGTGTTTGATAGATCAGTAGGGCGACTATATTTTACAATCATTTATTTAAAATAGCTAGAATAATTCTACTATTTCTAGCACAAAGAAAAGACAAATGTTTAAGGTGATAGATATTGCAAGCACACTGATTTGATCTTTACAAATTATACGAATTTTTACATTATCACATGTAACCCCAAACTATGCATATCTATTATGCATCAGTGAGAAAAGTGTTTTAAGAAATTAAAAAGAAAGCTGGTTTCAGCAGGTCTGCAGTTCAAGGTGTGGCGTTTGAAGTCAGGCAGATTCCAGAGTTGGAAGCAACTTTCAGACCTGAGGACAATTATAATAATTTTTCCAATGAAATGACTCCCTTTCTGTAGAGGAAGCTGGTGGCACGTGGGTTTGCAGTGAGGTATGCTGGCTGTAACATACCTGGGCAAATTTCGCATTGACTGGGGCTAGGGGACTACAAACACAACCAGAGCTGCAGCCCAGGCAGTCTTGCTGGTGTATCATGCAGATTCTGTTTCTGCGGCCTCCATCACTCTTCCCCCGCGTCTCCCCATAGCTCCTCCCTCACCTTATCAGAAGATCTCCCTGACCACCCTGCTAAAAGAGTACCCATCGCTATACACACACACACACACACACACACACACACACACACACACACACACACTCTCTGTCTCTCTCTCTCTCTCTCTCTCCCTCTCTCTTCCTGTCTACTTACCCTGCTTTAATTTTCTTCCTGGCGCCTATCACTGGCTGACATATACTTATTTATTACATGATTCCCTCCACTAGAACATGAGCTCTGTAAGAGCAGGGCTTTGACTATACTGAGCACTACTAGAGTCCAGCACCTGGGAAGGCACCTAGCTATTAACAACTAAATCACTGTTTAATGAATTAATGATTCAACTAAAGCCTAGGAGAAGTGTGTCTGTTGCAAGTATTACATGGGATCAAAGTGGGCATGGAAGAGCAGGCACCCTTCCCAGTGTCCTTGAGCCTCTGGGTCCTTGATTGATTTCTCTTTAGAGACAAGGTCTCCCTGTGTTGCTCGCTGGAGTACAGTAATCTCAAACTTCTCGGCTCAAGGAATCCTCCCACTTCAGCTTCCCAAGTAGCTGGTACTACAGGCAAATACCACCAACTTGGCTAGTATAGAAAAAAAAATTTTTTTTAGAGGTGGGAGTCTCACTATGTTGCCCAGGCTGGTCTCAAATTTCTGGCTTCAAGCAATCCCCCCACCTCAGCCTTCTGAGTCACTGAGATTACAAGCATGAGTCACCATGCCTGGCTATGTCCTTGACTTTTCATTCTGTCACCAACATCCCATCCTTGGAGACAGAGCTTATACCTGCTATGCCTTTACATAGTCTTCTTACCACAGGATTTAGGGAAGCCTGGAACCAGCAAGGACACACTGCTCCTTTTTCTTTAATTTATTTTTTTGAGATGGAGTCTCACTCTGTTGCCCAGGCTGGAGTGCAATGGCGCAATCTTGGCTCACTGCAACCTCTGCCTCCAGGGTTCAAGTGATTCTCCTGCCTCAGCCTCCCAAGTAGCTGGGATTACAGGTGCCATCACCATACCCCACTAATTTCATATTTTTAGTAGAGATGCAGTTTCACCACGTTGGCCAGGTTGGTCTGGAATGCCTGACTTCAGGTGATCTGCACATCTCTGCCTCCCAAAGTGCTGGGATTACATGTGTGAGCCACTGCACCTGGACTCTTTCTTAAAGCCTGACTCCTTAAATGCCTGGGTGAAATTTACAGTGGAGGCAAGTGTATGTCAGCTGAGGTAGATGCTCACAGGTCACCAGTATTCCCAGTGGAGAAGTTACAACAGCCATATTTGCCAAAACTTAAAGTTATTGCAGAGACAATTAGTGTTCTAGCATTTACTCATCACTCTTGGTTTCTTTTTATTTATTTATTTAGACATAGTTTTGCTCTGTTGCCCAGGCTGGAGTGCAGTGGCATGATCATGACTCACTGCAGAATCTACCTCCCAGAGTCAAGCGACCCTCCCACCTTGGCTCCCAAGTAGCTGGGACTATAGACATGTGCCACTATGCCTGGCTAATTTTTATATATTTTTTGTTTTTTATAGAGATGGGGGACTACTATGTTGCCCAGGCTGGCCATGAACTCCTGGGCTCAAGCAATCTTCCCTTCTTGGCCTCCCCAAGTGCTGGGATTACAGGCATAAGCCACCGTGCCCAGCCAACAATTTGTTTTTTTAAAACTGGCCAAAATGGCCTTTATCAGCTTTGGAAGACCATCATTTCAAGTAATTTGTAGTGAGGATACGAAATCCTACTTGGCCGGGTTGTCCTAAGGCTCCAATGAAATAACGTGGGAAAGTGTCTGTGCCGAGGTGGCATGCAGAAGTGAGCCACTTACCTGGAGAGCAGGCCTAGCTGACACCCACAGCTCAATGAGCCCAGCTGTGGAATCCAGGGGCTGTCAGAAGGGGCCAGGTTGGACTTCCAGCCACACCCACTGGCCAGACACAGGGAAGTGACAGCCATCTTTTAAAATCAGGAACCACCGATTTATGAACAGGGGGGATATCATTCCCTAGGCGACTTTTGGAATGTGTGTGGGTGTGTTGGTTGTCATAATGATTGTGGCGTCTTACTGGGGAAATAGTAGGCAGGGTACTAAGAATGCTAAATGTTGTGAAATGTTCAGGCAACAAAATGCAGACTTTCCTACATCCCCCAGACCTCAGAGCATCCTATCAGACAGTCAGATGGGGAAAAAGCTGTTTAAAATGCACTGAGCTAGGATTAACTCCATTTACCCTTAAATATTTTTTTCTGCATAGTTTAGTATTTGCTGGATTTTCCAAGAATATCAAGTGGAAGTAAACTGAAGGAAGACTTTATTTTGTTCTGAACTTCAACAAGTGTTATTTGCCATTTTAGAATAATATCCAGGTCACTGGTACAAGGTCTGTACTTGTAGCTGTTGGATTTGGGGTGATTCTGTATACATATGCAAAAATATTTATTTAGCATGTATTTCAAAATGTGCAGAGAAATAGCAAAAAATATACCAACAATATTTAGTTGACTTCTATCTCACGGCTTTTAAATCTCAATTTATTTATTCTAAGTAAATGTAAGTATCTGAAAACTTCATTATGTCTTCAAATATAGTTGTCTATGTACATGGCAAAATATGGGTTCTTTTATTAGAAATTATTTTTATTAGGCCGGGCGCGGTGGCTCACGCCTGTAATCCCAGTACTTTGGGAGGCCGAGGCGGGTGGATCACGAGGTCAAGAGATCGAGACCATCCTGGTCAAATGGTGAAACCCCATCTCTACTAAAAATACAAAAAAAAAAAAAAATCAGCTGGGCATGGTGGCACATGCCTGTAATCCCAGCTACTCAGGAGGCTGAGGCAGGAGAATTGCCTGAACCCAGGAGGCGGAGGTTGCGGTGAGCCGAGATTGCGCCATTGCACTCCAGCCTGGGTAACAAGAGTGAAACTCCATCTCAAAAAAAAAAAAAAAAAAAAAAAAAGAAATTATTTTTATTTTACCTTTATATTTTGACTTTTTAAAAAACATAGTAGGTGTTGGGGTAGGTTAAATACTTACTAATTACATTTCTGGATGGTAGAAAAGGTTTTATAAAATGTTTTCTGAGGCCAGGCACAGGTTCACACTTGCAATCCCAGCACTTTGGGTGGCAAATGTGGGAGGATTATGTGAAGCCAGGAGTTCAAGGCCAGCCTTGGCACACACGTTGAAACTCTGTCTCTACAAAACATTAAAAAAAAAAAAATAGCTGAGCCTGGTGGCACACGCCTATAGTCCCAGCTACTTGGAAGGCTGAGGCAGGAGAATCACTTGGGGGCAAGAGTTCAAGGCTGCAGTGAGCCATGATCACATCACTGCACTCCAGCCTGGGCAATAGAACTAGACCCTGTTTCAAACAACGCATAAACCAATAAATAAAACATTTTACAGATCCAAAGGAGCAAACCTAAACTGTTCACTCCAAATAGTCCATTTACACCCCAAAGTTTTCAGCCCAGTTGAGAAAAAGACGTCCTGTATGCTCCTTCAATTGTTATCAGTTTAAAGCTGGCTTCATAAAATGAGTTAAAAAGTTTTCATTCCTCCTCTATTTTCTAAAATAATTTATAAAAGATTAGTGGTAGTTTTTCTTACATTTTTAAATAAATTCACGAAATAAGAAAAAGAAATAAGATTTGCTTTAGACATATTTTTACAAGTGACCTTATAAAGAGTTTTACCTTTTCATGGGTTACATTTCCAGAGCTGCTGCTGTAGGTCACGACTCTATAATCGGTTGCATACTGTGATGAAGAGGAAGAAAAACCCACTGTTAGTGCACAGGTGAAGACCGAACTAGAGACGCCAAGGGCACTCCCGCGCTCTCGCTACTTCTGTCACCGTTCACACTGAGTGTGCTGGGCATTCCCCACAGGTGGGCCTGACAAGAGCCTCTGAGAATTATACAGAAGCTCCGTTAGGACCAAGCCAGCAGGTACTTCAAGAGACCTCCTGCCAAGGAAGCAGGGAGAATTTCCTTATGTTCTTTGGGCAATGGTTTGGAGAAGAAGGGCTGCACAATTTTATGCTGATAGTTTGATATTTCCTCAGCATTATATGTCATGTTATTTGAATAACCTTAGTACTAACTAATGCCAATATTCATATTTCATTGTGTCATTTTATTTTCATTCATTTATTTATACCCCACTTGGTTCTAGAACTTGTTTGAGCATGACTGCTTCTACTCTCTGTTTCTAATCTGGCTTGAGCCTCCATTCTCGAAAGCCAGGGATGTGAAGCAAGACAGCGTCTTCGAGCTGAGCATCTTCGGGGGACTCACTTATCAGAATGAGACATCTCTCCAGCTTTGGTCCCCTGGTTGATTTCACATGCTTCTGCATGGTGCACACAGGTGTCTCTCTGCGGCAGTATGTACTAACAAGTGGAATCTGTTGGAATGCAGTCCTTCCTGACCCCTTCTAAGGGCACCTGGCCCCTGAACTGTCGGCAGGAGCCCATTAGGAAGTATAGACTCACAGGCCTGCTCTCTGCCTACCCTTGCTGGTCTCTGGCTTCTCTCAGCTTTGATTTATCAGTGTTGCAGAAAGGCAGAGGTGTTCAAACAAACCCACACACCCGCTCTGTGACAGACACTAAAAAAAGCCCCATACACCTCTATTTCTTTCCTACCTCACAATATATATACAAGTCACTCCTGTGCTTATAAGCAGATCAAAAAACAAAACAAAACAAAAACGAGAGGTTGTAAGCAGAAAGAGAAAAGTCTTTGCTTATAAAAAGGAATCAGATTAGACCATATAATCTAGACCTTTATATTCCTTCTCTGTGTAAAGAATGGCCACAGGAATGCTACTTACAGCATTGCCAAAACATAGGGGAAAACCAGAAACAACCGGAACATCCATCAGTGGGGGACTGATAGAGGAGAATTATGTTATGCTCTTACAATGGATGGAATGCTCTACAGCCATGGCGTTATGCAGAAGGGTATCTACCGACAGGAGAAAATATTCATAATATGCTGCCTTAAAAAAACAGCAGACTATGAAGCAACATGTGTAGTGTGTGTACATACTATGTATGCTTATCTTTTATTATTTATTTTTTTGAGACAGAGTTTCACTCTTGTTGCCCAGGCTGGAGTACAATGGTGGGATCTCAGCTCACTGCAACCTCTGCCTCCATGGCTCAAGCAATTCTCCTACCTCAGCCTCCCAAGTAGTTGAGATTACAGGCATGTGCCACCCACCCGGCTAATTTTCTGTATTTTTAGTAGAGATGGGGTTTCTCCATGTTGGTTAGGCTGGTCTTGAACTCCTGACCTCAGGTGATCCGCCCGCCTCGGCCTCCCAAAGTGCTGGGATTACAGGTATGAGTCACTGTGCCCACCCTATTTATTTGAGACGGAGTCTCACTCTGTCACCCAGGTTGGAGTACAGTGGTATGATCTCAGCTCACTGCAGAGAACCCAGGTGGAGACCTCCTGGGTTCAAGCAATTCTTCTGCTTCAGCCTCCTGAGTGGCTGGGATTATAGGCACACCACCATGCCCGGCTAATTTTTTTAATGGAGACAGGGTTTCACCATGTTGGCCAGGCTGGTCTTGAACTTCTAACTTCAAGCGATCCACCGGTCTTGGCCTCCCAAAGTGCCGTGATTATAGGCATGAGCCACTGCATCCGGCCTGTATGCTTATTTTTAAAATATATGTGTATACACGCATAGAAAAAACATATCTGGAGAAGGTATACCAAAAGAATGGGTAGCTCTAGTCAGTGACTATGGATGATTTTTTTTTTCCTCACACTGCTTCGTATTTTAGTTTTTTTTGCAATGAGCACATATTATCTTTATAGTCAGAAGAAAAGATAAAAGTGTATTTTTTTAAAAGTCTACAATATTTAAGACCTCCCCAAAATGTGATTTAAGGGTATTTCTTAAATAATGTAAAAAAATTTTGGAACCAGTGAGACATTTTGGAAAGTTTTGTTTGTTCAGTGTTTATTTATTTTGTTGTTGTTGTTGTTTTTTAACTCTAGGCACCCATTTATAAAAGTTTCGGCCAGGCCAGGAGCAGTGGCTCACGCCTGTCATCTCAGCACTTTGGGAGGCTGAGGTGGGTGGATCACGAGGTCAAGAGATCAAGACCGTCCTGGCCAACATGGTGAAACCTAGTCTTTACTAAAAATACAAAAAATTAGCTGGGCGTGGTGGCATGCGCCTGTAATCCCAGCTATTCAGGAGGCTGAGG